GCCATGTACCCAGGGTACTTGTTACGTTGTAGGGTACTACTTATACTGACCAATTCTTTATCTAATGTCTCTGGGTCGCCACTTATGACTTTTGCTCGGTGTTGTAAGCAGCGGACGATCCATTTCTTTACGCTGTATGGATGGTGGGAGTTGAAATTGAGATACTGTCCGGTGAATGTCGGTTTACGATATACGGATGTCTTGAACCCATGCTCTGTTCGAGATGTTAGCACATCCAGGCATGGGAGTGTGTTGTTACTCTTTTTCTCTATTGTGTACTGTATCGAAGGTCTTATTGAGTTCACATGGTCCAGTAGAACCTAAACATCTTCCTGGTGTGGCAGGAGTATGAAGGCGTCATCTACGTACCTTAAACATAGTTGGCTTTAGAGATATAGATTCTAATGCGATTTCCTCAAATTATTCCATTTATATATTCGCCATTGCTAGTGATAATGGGGATCCCATTGCTAAGCCTTCATCCTTTCCGAAGTGTGTTGTTTTTCTACAGAAAGTCAACATCTCCATCAGATTACCCATTGGAATACAGGTCCGTTCTTCTAGGGATGAATCAGAGACCAATCTGTCTCTGACTACTGAGAATGCCTTCTCAGTGTGTACCTTGGTGAATTATTATATGTAATATATATATATATATATATATATATATATATATATATTAAAATTTTGCAGCTGACACAACTTCCTCATCATTGCTTCAGTAAGGTATTTTTAATTTTTTTTATCATTTCATCCCAAGGAAGACAATAAAGCCAATAAGGTAAAAAAGGCGTTACTGAGTTTAAAAGAAAAAGAAATTCATTAAGGAAGACGAGCAATAACAGAGGAAACAAGGCAGCAAGATAAGTTTAATATTGCATTTAAAATTTTGAATATCAAAGTTGATCAGATGTGTTCCACATATAAGAACTGAAACTGTTAGTTAAGAACTTACAGTTCCATCTAGCCAATTCAGATGTAAATTCATGAAACTTTTCTACCAATCTAGTACTGCACTTAAAGTCATAAAGTCTAGGTACCATAGAGGAAAGTTCATCAAAACAATTACAATGAAATTATTTATAGGAAAGTCATAGGAAATATACTTTAAGTGGGAAAATGACTGACGCCAGGTCAAGACCAATAACATTGCAGATTCTTCTTTGGATGTTATCAAGGATCTCTAAATATATAGCAGAAGCACTGGAGCATATGTGACAGCAATATTCTAAGCATAAACAAACGGCTGACTTCTGAATATGTATGATTTTCTAGCACGACACAGTGAACCAACTTTTCTATCAGCAGACCTAGTAATTTCCAATACTTTCAAGATAATCTTTCCACTTTGCATCAGAAGAGTGTGTTAAGCTCAAAAAGACACAATGAGTTCCTCTCCTAGCATTTAGCCTTGGCCATGCTGATGGAAAGCAGAAAAGGTTCACTCAGAATATTAATAGAAAGCAGTTTTGCTTATGTAGGTATTAAAATTAAGAAGTCATTCCTTGCCCCACTTAACAGATTTTAGGTCATTTTTGAGATCAGCTGCCACTTCGGGCTTATCAAACTGATCAGACCATTGAAACAGGAGTAAATAGTTATCATCATCATAGATACCACATTGAGAGCTGAAGACATTAGAAAGGTCATTGATGAAAATTAAAAACAACATAGACTCAAGAATAGAGCCCTAGAGGACACCTACATTAATGAAAAACGATTTAGAGGAGTGGCTGTTCAGGATGACATCCATTCTAAAATGAATTCAGAAATACAGTAACCTTTCGTAACCCGAACTTCACCATTCCATTTTTCTCTCAAGCTGGATATACTTTTTCAGTAATAATTATTAATGCATCAGCAGTTGACCTAGAGAAAGCTATATTGCTTATATGAAAGAAGACTTTGCAAAGTGAGATGTTTAATTAATTCAGAGTTAGACTAGTATTTTGCCAAAAAGAAATAGAAGGTTAATAGGCTGAGAGAAGGATCAGATGGTTTGGCTAAGTTCTTAAAGACTGGAACTACAGAAGACTGTTTCTAACAAGCAGGAAGCAACCAGGCATTTATTGTAAAGTTTAGAGAGGACAAGTGGCAGTTCAGAAGCACTTAAAGATTATTGCAAGGATAACATCAGGTCCACATGCTTTGTGGGAATCCAGATGATAACAGAAACTAAATCAGTTGAGTGATATACATCAGTATATTCCTCATAAGTATATAAGTCTGTTGAGTGATATACACAAGTATATCACTCAACAGACTGTTTATATATATTTAATTCCAAGCATGTTTGGTTGAATAATCTAGACATATGTCTATTTTATTTTAATCCTCTCAAATTCACCAATTTCTTAGCGTTGTTACAAAACTGAGTAAGAAAGATGCCATAGTTTTGGTTATTTCTTTTATTTTCCCAAGTACTTCCAATTTCATCCAAGATCCTCTCCAAGGGTGAATTTTCTTTTGTAAATGCACATGAAATATGCTCCATTATAGCCAATTTATACTAATATGTAAAGGAGGTAACAGTTTAAATCTTTTCTTAATATTTTAAAAAAAAAAAAAAAAAAAAAAAAAAATTGTTTTTATAGACACTTTAAAACATTGTTGCTATACTCATAATTAATTTTTAGTGTTGGTTTCATATTTTTTTTTATATAAAGTGCTTCAAGAATTTGAAGTTTGTTTTTTTTTCATGGTAGTGTATACCTGTATCATCAATTAATATTTGTCTAAAATGTGAATGTGAACAGGAATGTTCTTTTTAAATGTTGTGCAAAAAACTTGATTCTGCTATGTGTAATGTAATCCTCCTTGAAAATGTTGTTGTGAAACCAACATGTATATTTGTTTTTGTCAGAAACGCAATCTCCCAAAGGACATTTTAATTAATGTTGATCTTTTGCAAAACATTAGTTGACTGAGAAGAGTTATTGCAGATGATTTAGTATAGTATATAATTTGTTTTTTTTTGTTTCTTTTTTTACTGGGATCAGTGGAGGGGGTGAATATATGTAAGTACTTCAGGAAAATAAAAGAAATAAGCAAAACTATGGCATCTTTCTTACTCAGTTTTGTAACCACACTGATTTGACCCATGAATTTGAGAGGACTAAAATAAAAAATAAAAAAATAAAAAATAGACATATCTAGATTATTCAACCAAACATGCTTGAATGAAGATAAGCTACCAAAAAAAAAAAAAAAAGTTAGAAAATTTTTGATCATGATTTTTAAGCAAATTTTTCCAACTCCTAAAATAGATTATTTGAGGACATCATGTACGTAGCAAAAAAGTAAAATCATTAATGATATGCATAAAGTAAATATAAGGGATAGACTTCATATTACTGATACATCACTACAGATGAGTAAATACTCAATGTAGAATGTGTTTTGCAATTATGATTAAAACTGGGGTGGCAATAGGCAGAACATTTTGCTCAGAAAATAACTAAAAACAATCTTTTTCCTTTTATGAAATTGTTTATCTACAATTCTCTTTTATAATTCTGTTGCCTTTAAAACAATTGTTTTCATTATGTATATCACATTCTTTGTTCCTTACTGACATTTGGTATGACAGGTCAACAATATTTTCTGCTAGTAGTCAATATCTTATGTTCAAACTTGGGTGCAGTCAAATTTTTAGTTGCTTGTATGAATCTATTTTTAAATGCTGGGAAACAATGTGATATAAAATCTCTTGCTAGTTTACAAAATCATTGAAGAAACTGAATTCTTCAGTCACAGAAATATTTTGAAATTTGGAAAAGTTATACATTTTAAATTTAATTTTCCCCATGAATTTTATCTTTTTGAATAGAAAACAAAGTAACGGGTCATAGCTAAGTGCAATTCTCAACAAGCAGAGATAAAAGTTCTCAAACAATAATACTAAAAAAACAATATATATGTGCAAGTCAAAAAGAATTGTTTGCACACAAAAGTGATACAGTCAGGTGGTTATAGTTCTCTAATTTCAGAACAAGAAAGATATGGGGTGGAGAAATAGAAGTGTTCATTTTTTATAGGAAGAAATCCCAGCATGCATCTGTAGGATTTCTTTATAAATTTAGTGAGTGGATGTTTTTAACGAATCAGATTTGAACCAACACCTTCCTCTCTGGAAGATGGGGTTAATAAATATAAACAAGACACATTTACAATTCTTTTTGCATCCCCACCCGCCAATATTAATTTTGTGTGTAAATCACAAGTTTTTTTTCTTTTTCTAATCTACCTGTTTTTTTCTTATTTCTTCAACTTTTTCTTTACTCTTTTTCTGTTCTCCTTGCTGTTTCACTTGTCTGGCCATGATTTCATCTGCATCTAAATCTTCAAAGTCCTCTTTGTCAGTATTTTGCAGGAACTTGTCACTCATTTCATATATGCACAGTTCTTCAATTCTCGCCTCTAATTGCACTCATTCATTTGACTGAGGTGCGGGGTGATAACCAGTCTGATAGGAATGACTATCCTCTTTCCCAAATTTATGAACAAATCCTACAGGTGCATACTGGGATTTCTTAACCAATAAAAATAGACAATTCTCGGTGTCAAGACCCTCCCATATTTTTATTCTTTCTTTTGAGCTTCAATTCTTTCTCTCCTCTACTCCTCCCAGATTTTCTTTATCTGGACCCTTTCCCAGAATTCATAACTGAATTTGTTGCCATTAAAGCATTATTCCTGGGCTTATAACCTGCTGAGTAATTGGCTATGGCTAAGTATAATTTACAAAATGTTCAACATTTGAATTTCTCATTTGGTAAGGCAATCTTCTTAGCACTCATTACTATCAAATTGGAACCAAAAGATTAACAGTGAATATTACTATTTTCTTATCCAAGACAAAGAAATTTGCTACAATTTATTGCATATATAATATCAAATTAAACTTCTTTAATTCATAATTACAACTGTTTTCTGAAAGAAAAAGAAAATTTCATGTAATTAAATAATGACTCCTCTTTGTTTTTTTTTTGTTTCTTCAGGTGGGCAACTTCAGATAGATTCCAGTCTGTATGACATTTTGGCCACTGGATCATTTCTAAAGGCAGCACCTCATTTATTTGTACTTTGCTTTACATTTGTATACATTTTTACTTTATAAACAAAATACATTCATTGTACAAAGAGGAAAATACATACATTTTTGATGGTATTGAGAAGATTGGTAAATATCAACATTTTTATATCCTTTGTTCTCTAAAACAGCTATTAAAATGATTTCTTTTTTTACTATTGCAAATGTCAGATTTTTAATATAAAATCATATTAAATGGCTTGAGAAAAAATAAACCAATCATCATTAGAATCTGTATATACTTTATTTTCTAATATCCTTCACCTTCTCATGCAGTCTAAATTGTTTTCATAGTCACTTTCACTAATAGAAATGTTTTATTTAAAATTTTTTACTCTTTTATCAAAGGATTTTCTAAGGAAAAAAAAGATGAGAACATCCAACACACTTGGATGAAATAAATGTCATTTTCCCTGAATGTAACAGATACCCAAATAAAGCTTGAGTATCAGCCAAAAAATTGTAATAAAATCAAGAAAGATGAGGATGTTGGTCCAAATGAATCATTGAATGAAAGCTTATAATTATTGCCAAATAACAAAGCCATACTTTTGGCCTTTATCCTTACAACGTCCATGATATTTTGAATCCCTAAGATTTCCTGCTGATGGGTAAACGTGTTAAAAAAAAAAAAAATAAAAAAAAAACAACTGCTCTGCTACTTAAAAAGTCACAGAAGGGTGCAGATGTTGTGAAGAGGCATGTTGTGTTGGTTGATTGTGATTTACAGCAAGCAGATCTGTGATGTTGTCAGTTGCTTTTATAGTTAATTAACTTATAGAAAATATCAAAACAATATAAAATGAGCAACAAAACAATTCTTTGGATATTGTCATTTTGACTTAAAAGAAAAAAAAAATTTAGTTTTTATAGAAATGAACTAAGGAAAAAAAAATTAACTCTAATGAAAGAATTGAAAAGCAATATTAATGTGGTACTTTTGAGAAAATCTTTAGAATAGTTGCAAAGTTAAAAATTGTATTTGAAATTGTAAAGTCTAAATAGTGCATCACTTGTTGAATAAAAGTAAAGACAGTAAACAGAAATATTAGATTTTAATATTTTTATAATCTTCATATTTTGCAATATTTCTAGACTTTTATTTTATAAAAAATAAACCTGAAAATATCAAACAAGAGTTTCCCAAAAAGAAAACAATTTATAGAATTAAGCAGTATGTACAATTATAACAATTTTTGTTCAACTTTTTAATGAATAAGTATATAAATGATTGGCTAAAAGTGGGCAATTTGTGAAAAATTATGATTTGAAATTATATTTTGCATTTATCTTTAATGAATAACGGGGAGGGGGATAAGTTTCTCATTATTTGAAAAGTTCCATCATTATTTATTTAATAATTGTTTCTGAAATTATTTACATTACATTTGATAGGAAACCATTTTTCATTTTTTTCTATAGCAAGCAAAGTCTAAAAATAATTTAAGTAGACTGATCAACTAATAATAAAAAAAGTCCCTATTTTGTTTATGTTTTGAATAATTTTGTAGATTACTATTCTTTAGCTCTTTCTTAGAGAGCAACATTTGTCTGATTTGAAAAATATTGATTTAGAAGAGGTGGTCATGTTTATTATATCAATACAGTGTCAAGTTGATCCATGACTTATATATACAGAGGATTTTTGTGGATGAATTTTTTTTTTTTTTTAGGTGGAGTGGGGGGGGGTACATAGATTTCTTAATGAACAAACAGATATAACTTTTAAAGTAAACAAATTTATATCAACTAATAAAGTTGTGTATTTATTTTATTTTTAATTTAAGATAATTATGAACCTTGAATATTTCTACTTCTGAAAAACAAAAAAAAAACTTACTAAAAGTTTTAAGAAAGTTTAAAAATAGCTTAAAAATTCATAAAATTAAAAAAAATATATAAGCAGATATCAATGTTAGCACAATTTAAAACTTGATATTTGTAACTTAAGTAACTTAGTAACTTAACTAAGGCAAATAACTCTGTAAAATTCAAGGATCAATTTCATAATGTATCTATATTATAAATGAGATGAGACTCCCATCTTTGAAAACGATTACAAAAAAAATAAATTTCCTTTCTGGTAAAGAATGCTCACCTACAGAGTTTATTTCCTAAAAAAAGATTTTACCTATTTTTATATATATCTATATATATATATACGATTGGACCAATTTACTTAAGCAGTGCCAAATATATATAAAAAAAATCCTAAACACTAATTTCTATAAGTCAATTTCAATTATATATATATATATATATATATATATATATATATATATATATATATATAGCTTACAAAGAATTCTTATTTCTCAGGTGATGTCATCCAATTCCTGTTCATAATACAGTGATATTTGAACACAGTTTCACTGCATTTTCTAGGGTTATTTTTCATTCATCATTTTGTTATGTCTGCTGATTAATTCAGTAACAATATGCTCTTCAATTTCAATGCCTTGTAATAATTGTTCTTTGCTCAAAGAGATTGTCTGAATGCTATCTTTGCTAACAATCACAACTGCTTGCTTCCTCGTCTCCAAGACATTTGCAATGACAAGCTGCAAATAAAAATTTCAATTATTAATGAAACTTTATTAAAAGTAAGTATTATATTTAGAATGCTTTCTTTCTGTATATTTAAAGCTAGAGTAACTATCATACAAACCAAGTTTCTTTTTGCAAAAACAATTATGATCAGTTACATTTCTTAAGGTTATATGCAATTATTTTAAGGAGCAACAAAATCTTTGGAAAAAAGATGTGTTTTATGTTGTACTTCCAAACATGAATTCTGATTCTGACAATGTTATCACCAATAAATATGAATTTCACATATAAAGTGTAATATTGAAGAGGCTTAATATTGGAAGATCCAGTATTAAAATAAAATGAATCAGTCCAATCAGCCACGATTGAGTCAACTGGGAAATGGTCTAATGTTGAAAAATTCAAAACCCTTGATAATCCATGTTATAAAATATCACTAATGACACTTCCCAACATAAAAAAGAATATTTTGTAAATTATAAAAGTATATATATATTCCTGCTTTTTATCAAGCAATATTGATTCTTCTCTTAGAAACACTTAATAACTGTAGCTGTTTAATTTTTTGTTAAATAAAATTTAAATCACAAAATATTTTAATATACTCAGGCATAATCAGACTAGCCTGGAAAGTTTTTATGTAAACAAATGATATTCTTCCATTTCATTTTCTTTTTTAATGATTGTTTTATTTATTTTTTTTTTTTACAATAACAATCACAAATTTTGTAGATTTCTGATAATTATACTAGCGCTTTTTGTAGTATATTCATCACTTAATCCATTTAAAAATTTGTAAAGTCATGTAATCATTTTCGAGTGAAAATAATCACAATGCAAAGTTATTTCCCTTGTTAATTTTAACTATAAAAATTTACATAGTCTAAACATTACTTATATTATTATTGATACATCAATAGACATAATTACAAGTTACTATATATCAGTTAAAAATGTATTTCTAATATTGTGCTGTATTCAATGTACAATAACGAAAACTGAAAAAAAACTAAAAGTAGATATCTAGAGGATGAAAATAAGTTTTTGTGAATATTAATAGTTTAGCAATTAAAGAAGTACCAGTTGTCTCATTAATATTATAATAAAAAAAAACTTTAAAAGTTTGTAATTAATCTTCAAAAATTTATAGAAAAATTGAAAGTTAATTTATAGAGACAGAACCACATAATTCTCTAAGTATATGGAAATTTACATCAACTATAAGTACATTTCTTACAGTTAACTTTTTAGAAGCATTTGATAATTGCACTTAGAATGATTAAGGAAATGTTAAGTCAATAATTACACTTAATACAAAAACATTGAAGGCAAAATTATTGAATATTCAACCAGTTTTCAATAAATTTATTGTATACACAAATAAATAGAATTGTATGTGGATGAATCTAATATCTATGAAATGAAAATTTTGTTTTAAATCATTGAAAAACAATTTTCTATTTTATCTAAATGCCTTCTGAATAAAATCTTTTTTGTTTTTTTTTCTCCACTTTTATAATAAATGAATATAAAAAAATTTCAAAATAAGTATGCTTATCTTAAAAATCTTTTCAGCCATATTTATTACACTAATTACATTTTAACTTCTTGTAATACTTGTTTTATAAAATGTTAGGATTGTATTCATTTTTATTAACAAGAGGAACGTTATTCTTAAAATGTTTCTGAAGTATGCTCGGTATGGGTAAACATTTGTAATTTAAATCTTCAAGTTTTTCTGGCAACTTTGTTATTGACTGGAGGTTATTTATTTTTAAATTTGCCATTAAAAAAACTTTACATAAATGAATATCAGATGTTTTGTTCTCAATCTGATATTAGCCTTATTTTAGCTATGAAATTGTCTTTAAAACAAAAATATTTAAGTGAACTGCTTTAGAATTCTCTCACATATTTATGAAGAGGTTAATGTTGAACTATTCAACAATTTTGCAAGAATGATTTAATCATAATAGTATTAAGGTTTTCAGTGAAATATTTAATTTATTTATTTAAACTGTTTTATATATATCCCTAGTCCCTGACCTGTTATTTTCATATTTGACTTAGTTTCATTTGATAAATTTTTAACTCATTGAAAAATATAGCTAACCTCAAAGAAAATCAAATAATAAAATGGTGTAGCTGCTGATTTTCATCTTACCTGATGATGGTATTTCTTCAAAGCTTCTTCAGCTTTCTTTATTAACAAATTCTTGTCAGTTTCCAACTGAAAGTTGAACAAAAAAAATAAAATCTTAAGTGCTTATACTGTACAATATTTAGGGATGATACATAGCATGTATTGTTATTTAATAAACCCAATTAATTTTCAATATTAAGCAAACTCATATTAGTTTGTTATGCAAGTAACTTTAAGGATAGCAGCAAGAATTCAAACAAAAGATAACTTTCAATGTTTGGCAATTTAAAGTTTCAGTGTCAATTTGATGATGATGCACTTCACTTTCTCTGTTCTTTCTATCCTATTAATTTATCCATTTTCTTTATGAATTATGGTTTTAGTTAAATGTCTAACAAAATTATTACTTTGATTTTTGGGTATAGTTTATGTGGTGGATAGATCTATATGAATGCGGGTGTATGTGGGAAGAAAAGAATCAGTTTTATTTATTTTCTCTTCACCAATTAACAATTCTAAAGTAACTGTATTTCATTTGCTATAGAATTTTCATTGCTTGTTGGATGCAGTCACAATAGTAGATTTTTCTTTTTTAAATTGGTAAAAAGGTGACCAAAGGTATTGGAAATGCTTAGAGAATTGTCCTCTTTGGCCAGACCAGTATAAAGTCAAAAAAAAAAAAAAAAATTTAATAAGATTCAAACTTAGTAGAATTATCTCTCTTTATCATTCTTTGTAGGATTGATGACATGCATACAAAGACCCACCTCACATTTTTCTGTATTATCTCAACCCTTTCTAGACATTTCTTAGTCTGTTGTACCTACCTGTACAGTTTTCCTGGTAAAGGTGCCAAAACAACATTATTCTAGCTGATGAACAATCACTGAATATCATCAGTCAACTATATCAAACAAACATAATCATGAATCTTTATGAAAGGAAAAATATAAATAAATAACAAATAGATGACTTGTCAGCCATGAAAAATCCGTAGAAAAGATAACAATGTTTAGAAAGAAATATCAGAAATGTATTCTCACCTTAAAAGAAATAACAAATGCATCCGGAGCCCATTCTTTAACAAGTGGGCCAAGGAGTTTAGGAACCAATTGAAGAGAAACATGTAAGGGGCCATCTGCAGATTGGATTTTGTGTTCTGGCTGAAAGGGGAAAAACTCAAACAATATATTCTAATATATTGATAATTTGAACACTGAATCAATAATAGTTACTTTTTTATTTGCTTTTTTGACTCTTATAAAAACAGTTGCTGATTTAATGCCTTGAACAACTTGATAAGATATACAACCAACTAAATTATCAATCACAGAACAATTGTGGCATAGGCATTTTTCATTATATAAATGTACTAAAGGATAAGTCAATTAAAAAAAAAAATTATTATAAAGTCTGAATTTATACAGACTTAAGATTTTGATGCAAATAGTATTTGAATGTAAATATAAAAAAAGAAAGCTATTTAAAAACAATCACTAAAAAGTAACTCTTGAAAAAGAAATTTGGAAAGGAATCTGATTATATCTGAAGAGAAAAAAATGGAAAACAGTCAAGATAATAGATATAGAAGGAAGCAATACTGAAATCTTTTCAGTATATATATATATATATATATATATATATATATATATATATATATATATATATATATGTATATATATATATATATATATATGATAGATAGAGAGAGAGTAACCAAAAGGACAGGCAATTTGGGATGAATTAAATATTTTTGAATTGCAAAAAAGTTCAGGGTGAAAGAAAATATTTACATTTTGTAAAAATATTCTCTGTCATGAAATTCAAGCCTTCAGTTTAACCAACAACTTTTACTGGAATGAGGAGTTACCATTATTCACATTATTTACAGTCACACTAATGTCTTCATCTTTGTTGTTACAATGTTTCAGCTATTGGGTACTCCACCTTCTTCAGGTGTCTGACAATCTGGGTAATGTTCAGGAAATTTTGAACTTAATTCTAATCTAACAGGATAAAAATTATTAATGTTGTGATAACAATAAAGATGAAAACAGCAGTCTAAATAATGTAAATAATTTATCTTCTGTTTTAGCATTGTCCAACTACATGGGTGCAAGTTTTCTTAAAGAAAAAAAAAAAAAAAAAAAAAAATTTTTTTTTTTTAATAATATTAAAATCTTACCATTTGATCTTTTGGAATATAAAAGTCAGAAACAGCAGCAGCCAGATACAACATGGCTGAATGACCAATTTGTTGTAATGATAATGCTGAAGCTCGCAAAAGATGTAAATATTCATTTAATGTTGTAAAGTCAATGAATAAAAGATGCCCAGATTTCATTACTTCTTTATATTTTAGTAACATTGTCTTGACTTTATCTTCATACTCTTGTTGCACTGAAATTAATTTAAAAAGAAAAAAAAAAAATAGCAACAGCATACATTTTTTTTTTTTTTACTAGTTTTGTAAACAGTCAATGGTTTAGAAATATTTTAAATTTTGTGTATTAAATATAATTTAATACATACAATAAGTTTAATTACATAATTTTGAATGGATATTCCAATGTTAACAATATGCTTTAAAATTTTTCAATAATTTTCAAGATGAGGTTAAATTTGGGGTGTGCATCGATTGGTGGGTGCATCAACATAAATAAGAAAGTGAATCAAGTTGAACATAGGATAGACATGCGCAAGACAACAGGAAGTTATATAAGAGGAGGAAGAAGATTGAACATTCAAAGAAAGATCCCAAACCACAGATCCTTCATTTGGTCAACATTAACTTGCATCCAGAAGTGAATAAACAATTATTTCATATGGAAAAACATTATTAGATGTTACTACAATATTACAATAGTATAAGTTATATTAAATTTTAAGACAAAACTCTTTATCAGAATATTTGTTCATCACTAATATGAAGAGAAAGATAAAATGTAAAAGGGCAGATAAAGTATTGATGATTGTATATTTAGTTTTATATTAGTAAAAAGAAAATCTACATACAGCAAAATATATTGATTATAAAAATTATTTTCTTTCTTTATGAAATCCTATTAAATGCTCCAAAATTGTCTTGGAGATTTACTTTTTAAGATACTTTTCAAAGATACTCACCAACAATAGACTGAGCTGAAGTATTATCATTAGCAAATTCCAACATATCCAACAGATTCAAGCGAGAGAAATGACGGGAGTATGGTTCCAAAGAACGGTTCCTATATAAAAATATCACAGCATATCCATGTTGCAGGAAATTTCTGATTTCAGTATTGTCAAGAAAAATGAAAGAACAAAAGAGTTGATACAATTCGTTTCAGTCAGAAGTCAACAAATTGATTCTGTATATTGAAAAAGAATACATTTCATATTTGATTTCTAAATTTAACAATTAGAACAGGTGACATGTAATAATGAATTATAGAGAAGAAGAAATCAGATAATGCTTAAAAAAGAGCTTATTACAATGTAGATTTGGAGAAAATATTCAAAATTTCCAACACTTAAAAATGTCTGTAAAAGCAAAGAAAAGATTTCTACAGATGAAAGATCAATATCCTAAAGTATTGCTGATTGTAGCTTTTAAATCTGATTTTCTAGTTAAAAATTCAGAACATTTCAGTCTAACCAAAAAGGATTAAAATGGTCTATGGAATCATGGCGCTAAAAGGAAATAAACATTCATAAACTGGAAAATGTCTGTTATAATAATTAAGATTGGATTATAGAGATTTTTTAAAATGAATACAATCTCATCTCATAATTAGTGTTAACAAATTCATGCAATATATGGAAAAAAAAAGCAATGGTCTCTAAGAATTTCATGGATTTAAAATGAAGTGATATGATAAGAATCCAGGAAAACTTATCCATTTTCTTAAATAAAACAAGGAGTTCTATGCATGTAGGAATAAAAGTCACTTTTCTCTGGACAAAATACGTATGTGCCACATGTATTCTCTGCTAAATGGCTAAGAATATCAGCCAGCAAGCAATAACTAAGGAAGGCTGAATTTCAAAAATCCTTTCAAAGTTTCAAGGCACTGAAAGTGTTTCAAATCAATCAAGATGAAAGTTGCCGCATTGAATGGTACAGAAACTGATCAAGACAGCAAAAGTCAGAAAAAGTAGTTTGAATTATTGGATACAGTTGTAAGATCACATTCGGTAATGAAATTAGAAAGAAGCTGCATTTCTAATAAGCAAGAATTTGTCAAAGGGCCAACAGGAAAGTGAAACAAGCCACGTAACATAACAAAAACAATAAATATATTTATAAATATTATGTAATAAATTTTTTTACAGACATTTTCTGCTTTAAAATACCATATCAGGCTTGGTTTATGTGAAGTGGATGAAAAAAAGTCATTTTTTGCATTCTTCATTTCTAATTCAAAAACCCTGCTACAAAATATGTAAAAAAAAAAAAATTTTTTTATCAAGATTTTATAAAAAAAAAAATAATTAAAAAATAATTTAATTCATTTGTGAATAAATCCTGGAAGTTTCATTAAAATCTGGCAATTATCTGATCTTTGCAAGAATTTCCAAATGAATGTATTTTTCATGTGAAAAAAAAAAAAAAAAAAAAAAAAAAAGGTGATAAAACATTAATAATCTTACTTATTATAAAACGCAGATTGCGTGTGTGTGTGTCTGTACGTTTATATATTGGATCGGATTTCCTACATTTTTCAACCGATTTCAACAAAACTTCACAGGACTGCGTAAAATTACCTTGCAGTGGTTCTGACAGTGCTAAGAATTGGAAAAATAATTATTTTTGCATGAAATCAATTTGAAAACACAATAAAACACGATTATGTCGCCAGAATGAAAGGGGGACAACTCATATAGAGTTATACTTATTATAAAACCCAGGTTGTGTGTGTGTGTGTGTGTGTGTGTGTGTGTGTTCCTTTATATATGGGATCAGATTTCCTACATTTTTCAACCGATTTCAACAAAACTTCACTTTTTTTTTGGCAGGTAGTGTTTCTTATTGTCTTGCACACTTTTTTCTTTATTTTTACATTCAGAATGCTTTAAAAATTCCATTTACAAGACAAGTGTTTATAATAAAATTCTATTCAAATTCAATCAATAGACTCATAACAATTGAAAAAAATCTAATTAAGACATGCGTGTCCGTCAACCTTAAACAATAATCTTTGTCAATTTTATTTTTCAGACTTTATGATGGTTGATACTTGATCTATCTCTTACTGTTACATCCCCAGGCAACGCCGGGCTCTACTGCTAGTTGTAAATATTCGGCTGCTAACACAAGACAAAAAAAAAGATTGGTAACCAAAATTTCAAACTTTTAGAAAGGATTCAAAATTTAATAAAATAATAAAAAAAAATACTTTGGTCTTTCCTCTTAATAATAAACATTTTGTCATTGATAAAACTGTTTTTATTAAGTTTGGGGCCTTTTTTCATCATGTTATGTATTTTTCTCAGCAAAAAAGTGGAGGTACCTACCTTTGCATATAGCTTCTTTTTTTTTCTGAATGACATATTTGTAAACTGGGAAAGATGTTGAACTTAAATAAATTGTCTGCTTTCTTAATAATATTGTAGCAATTATCATCTAAGTACTTAAGGGAAATAAGATTAATAATTTCAATCTTGATTTCTTTGTTAAAATATTTACTGAGAAATTCATGTGCAAGTTCTAACTGGTTTCATTTCTATACACTGACAAATATTAGGAAACCCAAGTTATAGGTAACTAACACTAGTGATATATGCAAGATGGTCTGAAAGTTTTGTCACCCCATCTATTTCAGATGGGGTGACACGAGCTACAGATCTAACATTCTTGTGTTCAGTTTATGACACCGAAACTAAAAGTCATCAGAAAAATATTAAAAGGATACTCAGCAGATGCTGATCCTCGTGTCCCTTGACTGAAGTTGTCCATGTAACGAACTGTTCGGCTTTCCAATGGTACCGTTGTACCACCAGACTGAAATAAAATAAACTGAAGTTAAAAGACAATACATTTCTTCAAGGTTGGATTTTCAATTCCATTCAATGCATATTAATATAGCAAGTGAGTAAAAAAAAAAAAAAAAAAAAAAAAAAAAACACATAAGCATTATTCTTTTTTAACAATTTCCTAACAAATCCAAACATTTCCCTTTGAATTTCTAGCAAAACAGAAATGGGAAAAAAATGTAAAGAATGAAATAAAGAATAAAAATAAAAAGCTTAGAAAAAGAGAGAAATATAAATTCAGTGGAAACTAAAACCATTCTCACATAAAGATGAAACATTTTACATTACAATCATAAAAATAAAATCTATTTGTGAAGAAATTTATTATGAAAGAAGTAAAATTGTTTTTTTAGAACAACAGGGTCCATTCATGAGAATATGTTCACAGAAAAACTCAATTTTAAGAACAAACAGTGAAGAAAATCTACAAAATGATTGCAAATACACTGAAAAGAAAAACAATATATCGTTCAAGGATGATTCTACAACTACAAACTCTAAAGAATTATTTTTTTTTCAAATGTACATCTTTATAACAGTTTCAATTAACATTAATTAATTTAAATCTTGAAATAAAATGTTACACTTATCCTTTTCTTTTAGAAACCTAAGAGAACTAACATTTATAAAACTCTGTGGAGATTTCTTATTTCACTGTTGAAATTGCTAAACCGTAAGTTATAAGCTGATAGTTTCTTCTCACTTAAGGAACTCTTCTTGCTTTTCTGTCAACTATGATCTTCAAAAATTTTAATAAATGCAATGTCAACCGTCATCTGCTGTCTCCTTGAATACTGTTTGTGGTGAAAATTCCTTCACCTCCCCTGTCGCCTATCGTTAAAAATGGACTGTACCTACTTATAAATAGTTCTGTTTGTACTAACTGTTCTACTGTGCTGAATAAAACCTAATTGAGTGTTGAATGGTTCATCATTTGATTCAGATATGCTTTGAATATTCAGTCATGTAACAACTAAAATTAAGTTCATTTTTGTCTCTCGTCCACGCATTGTAAAATGTTGTAACAGTCTTCCATTTTTTGTGGTTGTGTACTTTTGATTTTGTCAACGTTTGTGTTATATGTGCTGGTGAGGGAAATCCCTCTACAATGGCAGAGTTGCCCCCACAGCAGCCGGAATCGACACACCCTCTTGTGTCTGCATGGACTGCTACAAGGCCAGCAAAAAAGAGCCCCAAGGTCTATGTAGCACTTCAGGAAAAATATGCACCCCTTACTAAGAGAAATGAATTTTTGGCTCATCCCGAAGCTCTAGATGTAGTGACCACCCAGATAATCTCCTTAACATTGGATGTCATAACAAGGTGACTCAGAAGAAGAGAGGCCATGGAGGAAACTTTAAAAGCCTCCAGATATGCCTCAAAATCCTTGCCAAGAGGACCAATGCATTATGGGACAGACTGGTAGATAGAGGAAGATGCAAGAAAACTGGCAGGCAGCATACTAACAACAAAATCAGTATGACAGCAAACCGAATATATGAGCACTTAGAGAACCAAAATTTCATCGCTTGGAGTTCCAATGGACATTACAGAGGACCGATTGGGAGCCTTTTTCTCCAAGTTTGGACAGGTTGGGGAAGTGTCAGCAGTGTCTAGGAAAACTGGAATAGCGACAGGGGGAATTTTGTATTGGAAATCACCATGACCAGAGAAAATTTTCTGGCCATCTGAGATATGCTGCTGTGTTGCAGATGAAATATCTTGGTCATAGTTGAAAGTCGTCACCCCCACTGTTGTTCAAGTGGGGCAGCAGGGCACTTGTCAAAGGTATGCTCCTCCAGAAAAGAGGGACCAAAGTCAACAACACAAGTACCAAAACCAGCAGCAACCAAGGAAATTGTGGAGAAGGAGAAATCTGGCCAATCTGCTAGTGCTGTTTGGGAGGAGGCTATAAGGAAGGGGAAAAAAATCAGCGACCCCTACCCTTCAACAAGATCTTTCACCCAAGAAATCAGTAAAGCAGCAGCAGCCAAATGTGAAGAAACAGCAGCAGCAGGAAGAGCTGAAGAAGGAACATGGGCAGCATCATCAACCCCAACAACAGATGCAGCACCAACCCGAAAAGGCTAAATGATCACTGGAGCCTATGCAAGTGCGAGACAATTGAACTTGTATATGGAGGGCGAAGCAATGCCTCCACCCTGGTCCTCCTCTCTAAAAAGAGCGAAGGAAGGGGAAGAGGAAAAGGAAGAAGGTGAGAAAAGTTTAAAAAAGGAGGAGAGTTAGGTGAAGTAGTTAAGTCTCAGTCCATCCCTGTTTTGTCAGCAAGAGAAAAGTCAGCAGTCATGTCAGGCTTAAAGCCTCCCCTCTGTCCCCTACTAAAGATCTTCCTTCTCTTTCCCAAAAAAAAAAAAAAAAAAAAAAAAAAAAAAAGAGAGAGACCTATGGAAGCACCATCTTCTCCATTCTCCCCTCAGGCACCTATTGCAGCAACACTTTCTCCATCTCCAAACCCTTCCCAAGAAAAGACGTCTATTGATACACCATATTCTCCCTCCCCAAGCATTTTGGAGGAGGGGGGAGAGAAAAAGACTCTTCCTCAGAGGGTGGAAGATATGTGAAACAGATAGACAGGCCTTGAAAAGAAATCTTTCTTCACAGAGGAAGACTCTCTTGAGGCCTCTTTTTAGATCCACCTCTGTGGATGGGTTGTCCTAAATAATTTTTCAGAAGCCCCTGGGGTGATTACCTTGATATATAACACTAGGGGTAATCTCAAAGTATTGGGACCAAGTAGTGAAAGTGAAAGAAGCATTCTCGAAGATGAGAATGTTTAAAATTAACTCGCACCAACTAAAGAATCTAGCACAATATTGTGTAGGGAGGGTCCTGGTTCTTCTCCACCCTTCTCTATATAGGCAATTAGTGTTCCTGATGGAAATTGGTGGCATTGTCTCTGAGGGACGAATTACATCTGACATAGGCACCAGAAGTCTGGAACAATCTGTTGGGGTCTCGAAACTCACAGATTTCCACACAGTCTGGCATTTAAGGGACTGAGGCTTAAATCTTGTCCATCAAGCTAGCCAGCTTAAATGTGAGGGGATTGAGAGATTGGGGTAAGGCTGCCCACCTGCTTTGTGATCTCAGGTCCTTTGGAGTGGATGTAGCTGCGATCCAGGAAACACACTTTGTTTGCGACATTGATGCTCATGTGCTGTCTAGCGACTTTGTTGTCTATTCAGCATCCAGGGACCAGCAGTTCAGAGGTATTTCCTTCTACTTAAATGTTCCCTGGATGTGAGATTAGACCTTGTTCATGTTCACATGGGGGAGGGGCTGATATTGCCATGAGCAATGGTTCATTTCAGGTTATTTCAGGAGGAATGTGTCAACCCTTTCCGTCTGTTAGCGCCATTCCTGGTTGATTTGTCACATTTAATCTTAATGGGGGACTGGAATGCCATCCTGAACACCAAGTTAGACAGGGGGTGGAGAGCTAGCAGGAGGGCATTGGGCTCGTCAATAGTCAAGGGTGGGGATGTGGCCATGGGCCCTTAAGTGGGCATCTCTCCAGATAGCCAGCTATCTGAACAGAATGTTAGTAAGAAGGGTCAACCTAAATTTACTAGATTGTCCCATACTCCACCGTTTAGACTATTCAGATCATAGACTTGTCGGTGCCCGGATGGTGTTAGGCCCTAGGCCTAGAATGACTGGACACTGGAAGTTCAATCTATCCTTACTGGACAGGCAGGACTTTCAGCTACAGCTGACTAGACTAGTGCAGCAGGAAATAGTGGGAGCGGTTATTGGGAATAAGTGGTGGGAGAGGCTTAAGGATAGGATTAGGTCCTTCACCACTGAATATAGCCATTGACTCGCTCTAGATAGGGCTAAAAAGATGAAGTCTCTTGATGATAGTCTGTCCTAGGTGGTGGCTGGGGGGGGGGATAATTCCCTAGAGATAGCCGTAGCTAGGCAGGCCCTGAAGTGTGAGGCTAGCAAGCACTATCAGGTTCAGGTAGTTAGACATAGGTTAAACAAGATGTTTAACAAGGTTGTGAACATGGGTGCAGGACTGCATGGGGAATAGATCTGTAGAGGTTTGAATGTGAGAATGCGAGGTCATTATGCTAGAGGGGTGTTCTCAGGGGTTGACCAAGATGTATGAGGTGTTTTGGCAGTATTTAAAAACCATTTTATCAAGGAGCATGATCTCAGTGGCAACAATTTTCACAGCAATTTGGCTAACTTTCCTTGGCTTTCACCAACTGAAGTGACTAGTTGTGAGAGTGAGATCACAGAGGGCAAAGTTTACTTAATATTGAAGAAGGTTGGCAGAGGCAAGTCTCTGGGACTTGACGGTCTGCCCTACGAAATGTACTGGAGACTGTTGCACATCTTTGTCCTGATTTTGACAATGGTGTTCAACAACTGGTTCTGGCAGGAGGCCATCCTCGACCAGATTCCCAGGGCTGTGATCATACTGTTGAAAGAGGGCAAGGGTGTTGGGTAGGATTTAGATGATTATAGGCCCATAACTCTGCTAAATACAGAGTTAAAGATTTTGGCCAAGAGCATTTGCAGTCAGTTGTTGTAAGCTTGTTGAGACCCAGACAGACTTGTGCTGTGAGGGGACAAACAATTCAAAGCAACCTACATCTGATCCGCATGATAATAGAGGGTGTAGAAGATGACAAACAAGCTGTGCTGATCAATTTGGATCAGTCCAAGGCATAGGGTTGACCATCAGTACCTAGCAGCTGTCCTGCAGGCCACTGGATTCAAACCTGACTTTTGCTGGTGGATCAGCCTCCTGTGTCGCTCCCCCAGTTCTGTGGTACAGGTGAGCAGGAAGTGGTCAAGCACTTTTCCACTGTCTTGGTTGGTCCACTGTTGCCCTTACTTTGGCATTGGAGACCCTCCTATGCCAGCTGAAGCACACAGTGTGTAATCCATCCCGCTGCAGAATCACTGTTTTCCCTGGTAGAGCTCGAGCTAGGGTTTCCACATATGCCAATGAAATATCCATTTTCATGTTGTGCTGTCGCGACATTAATGTGGTGCAGAAGGTGCTCGAACAATACGAGAAAGTGACAGTGGCTAAGATTAACCGTAACAAGTCTTCCAGCTTGTGGTTATGTGCCCAGGAGAGGGTTGTTCTTCTGGAGCCCTTTGGTTGGACTGCTGGGCCTGTCTGCATTCTTGGAGTGTGGTTCAGCCCTGAACACCAGCTGAAGAAGAATTGGTTAGAAGTAGAGGCGAAGGTCGTAGTGTCAGTCCAGACTTGGCTCCAAAGGAGGTTGTTCTTAAAGGGTAGGGCTGAGGTGTGTACCTCTTACATCTTGCCCCTCATCCTTTACCACTTGGCTGTACTTCCTCTTTGCAGGGACTGTATGGAGGCAATCAAGTGTTTGTTGACGAACCTCTTGTGGGGTGGTCACAAACATTGTGTGTAAAGAAACCTGTTACCAGCATCTGTGTCATGGGAGGCTGGGATTTCCACTACTGGAGAGTCATCACCATGCCTCTAGGTTGGCTTTCCTATGCCTCATTTTGACAGAGGGCTTAATTTTGGTGCAGAGTGTTCAGGACAACTTCCCTAGCTTTACAATCACTCTTCCCATTTCTTGGGCACAGAATGTCAACCCCTTATAACTTCAAGGGTAATGGACAATGTGAGAGGTATAATGGCATTTTGTGGAAAGCAAAAACTGTGGCACTCAAAACTCAATGCCTACCTATAAATCAATGGGAGAATGTTTTACTAGATGCTTTACATTCAATGCGCACACTACTTTCAGCAGCCACGAATACTACACCTCATGAACGGCTATTCAGTTCTAATATAGCTAACAACACCAGGAAAGGTTCTTCTGAGACAACATGTCAGACAATCAAAGCATGACCCTATTGTGGAGGAGGCGGAACTTATAGAAGCCAATTCTTATGTGCACATTCATCTCCAAAACAGCAAGGAAACCATGTTGCCCACTGCTGGTCTCATTTAGAACTGTTCTCTTGAAATACAAGACACTGACTTACCCACTCAAAACTTTGTGACCTTTGATCCCCACAAGACTGAATCTAGCACAGATACACCAGAAAATGAAATCGAAATTCCTTTACATCAATCAGAGCGATCGTGTAGATCACCCAACTGCTTAATTTAGGAGTAAATCTTTGCTGATTTCCTTAAATTATATATGGTTATAAAAAAAATACTTAGAAATTGAAATAAATCCTGCTAGGATATAATCTTTCCTTAATATTGATTGACTAATTGCCACTAATTATTCTAGAAGCAAGGGAGATTGTGGTGAACATTTCTTCCCCCCTCCCCCACTCTGCCTATCATTAAAAATGGACTGTGCCTGCTTATAAATAGTTCCGTTTGTACTAACTGTTCTATTGTGCCAAATAAAACCTAATTTGGGTTACTCTGCTCCATGTCTTTTATTACATTGTTCATCTATTGTCCTCTCTGGTTTTTTTTCAGTCCCAGTAACCCTTTGTATCTTAGTGGCTTTTATCATCTTGCTCAAGGGTGAAATAAAAAAAGAAAATAATTACCAACTAAGACCTTACCTACCTAGTTTTCTACCAGATGATTGTTTAAGCAGGGTGGTATTGTTGGAGTTAACTCCTCCTTAATTTCCTAATTGTTCACTAGGGCATGCTCTCCCTACACTATAAATACTGGGTGAGTTCTTGCCTCATTCTCTTTTTACTTTGCATTTCAGCAGACACATTTAAAAGATGTGATCTCTCACAGAGATTTGCATTTTGCCCACTTGTGGGAAAATGCCATGAAACACACATACACAAACATTCATCAAAATACAAACTCTTTACATTCACGCACAAACACAAATGTTGATGGCATAGTTCATTGTAAATTTTGTTGTTTAATACATATACTTGTTTGTATGTATGTATATATATATATATATATATATATATATATATATATATATATATATATATATATCTCGATCTTGTTTATTTTCTTTACATTTCTTTATGGTGGATTCAATCTGTCTGCCATATTCTTGTAGTGGACTCTTCTATCAGGAGTTACACATGTGTTCCTAATTTAACAACACGTTAAACCCACTGTCCGCTAGAGTATCATCTCTTTTAACGTCCAAAACAAATTCTGTGCATATATTTTCCACAACACCTCATTTCCAAAGTCTTGAATCAAATTCAAAATATGTTTTTTAAAGTTTGTCCAAATTCTCCAATTTTTTTTGTCCATTTTGTCAAGAAATTTTGATGTTTCTTCAAGTCAAATAAATTGGACTTTATGAACGCTCGAGTGATACTAGACAAAAATTAATTACCCATTTAAATGGGTATCATTTCTCTCTCCACATAATGATTGTGCATGTAGGGAAGAAATTATAAAAATATGAGAAATCATTTATCTTTTTTAAGTAACAAACTAAGTATCTTGTGGTCAACTAGTATGAAAAATGGGCTAAATTTGTAAAAATAATATACCAGTTCTTTTGATCAGTTCGTTATTACCAAAGTTAATGCACGAATTTCGGTAAATTTGCAGATAATTAAAAAAACAAAACAAAACCTGATTATTCCAAAAATAGCATTGAAATTGAGGGAAATCTACCGTTTAGGAGATATTGACAATCTTAGTTGGGACCCGGTTACCGTCCGGCTGCCAAAGAAAGAGCATTTAAAATTTGAGGAAACTATTGATTTTTGTACGGGATATTGACAATATTGGGTCCCGGGTACAGCCTGGCTTTCAATAGTGGGCGATTTGCAGATAATGCTCCAGCGACTAAACTTAAGAGAAGGAGTTGTTCCTGGTATAAAAAAAAAGCATGATTATTATAAAAATAGCAACAAAAATTGCAGAAAATACCTTTTAGGAGGTTGCTGACAATCTTATTCTTAGGTAACGCATTTCCCTAGCATTAGTCACTGGGAAATTATCTGCTGTATTCGGGAACCCAACTAAGATAGTCAATATCTCCTGACCTAAACGGTAGATTTTCCTTAATTTTTAAATGCTATTTTTGGAATAATCAGGCGTTATTACGCCAGGAATGAAACTTTTTTTTTTTTAAATTGGTCACTGGGGTGGGGCATAACTGCAAATTTACCAGAATTTCTTTCAAAATTTATAATGAATTTTTTCTTAAAGTAACTCAAATTTTATAAACATTTTTCCTCAAAAATAGTTATCTTAGAAAGTTGAATTTTCACCACCGTGTTTAAAAAGCATTATGAATTTTTTTTAAACCTGTTTCTACAGATCAAATTAATTAATGGATTGGATTGTGATTAAAAATGAACAAACGGTTCGTGTGTAATAATTAGGATGATTTTATCGAAGCAAATAAACAAAATGTTTTTTTATCGAATTTACGCCTACGCTTGCTTCTTGTGACAAGGGGAAATAAAAACAAAAGTAAATTAAATCGGCGTTGATTGTAATTAATTCAGCTAAAAGTGAAACCGATTAAAAAAAACAAAAAAAAAAACACGGAAAGCTATAATTTTTAGTCTATTTTTCACTCAAAGAAATATTTTCTTTAATGACTAACATGCATCATTGACATAACAAAAAAAGAAGAAAAAAATAGCCATTAAATCACAAGCCTAATAAAATAAAAATAAACATTCGAAAATAAATTAACTTTACCTTAAAAATATAAAATCTTCGTACGAACTAAGTATTATTACGATTGCGACAAGAAGCACAAAAATTATAAACGTGATGAATTTGTCATGCGATGCATCATCAGACCATACATTTCACACGCGGACACTAACAAAAAACAAAATAATAAAAAATTAAAAAACTGACAACCTCAATTATAAAAAACAACACTCCTAAAATCTAAAAAAAAAAAAAAAAAAAAAAATGAATCAATTGCCCAACTGCGCCTCTTGTCATAAACATTGAACATACAACATTAACAACCCTCTCCCGAAGGATTTCCATAAAAAAAAAAGCATGTTGACACCTACAAACAACTGCCTGTCCCCATAAGAAAAATTCTGGTTGATAACAACTTTTTGAATATGGTGTTTAACAGTACAACCAGTCAGATTTCTAACTGAAGAAATCTGATTGCTAACTAAAATTTATCGAGGCTTTTTAAAACAATTCAAGTCAAGCATCAATTTTACTTTTAGTTCGAATGTGTTGGTGGCCTTTTAAGAAAGCACCCACCCAACAAAGTCATGACCTCATCCACTCGCGCAATATAAAATTACTACTTCTACACACACAATCACCTTAAAACATGGCTAATTGTCCGAAAGCGCTTGGAGCAATTATGGGCAGTTTCTGCACTCCCTTTAGGCCTTTGAAAAAGAAGATTTTAAGAAAATTAGAATAAGTTAAAATCTTAAAAAGATTTTTTATCTGCCACATTCTACGAAACATGTTCAAAAGAAAGTTTACTGTCCAAATATACGATATTCAAATGTTTACATTAACGAACAAAAAATAGTCGGAAAAAAAAGCATAAAGGAATCAAATAATACAAAAAGTAAAAAAAGAAAATATATTCTTACTGTCACTAGGACAACTTTGTTACCAATTTCATTATGTTTGCTGACAAAATTACATATTTTATCATTTTTTTCTGTAAATTTATCCGGTACCGGTAATTGTTGAAAGAAATTTGTTGAATCAACCTCCATGCTTTAAAGTACTACTTTGATCTTTATAAGAGGAGAGTTTCAAAACACATGCTACTTCCGGTATCTGTCCTTCTGCTTATGTATGGTTGGTATGTAAAGCTTTTATGATGTGGTATTGATTTTTAATCACTCAAAATGTAAAATAAAAACTGCGTCAAATATCAAATAGATTTGACTATAGTTTTTAATTTGACTTGAATAAATTCACCATGAACACTTTTCTACTTTGTTCGACCAAAAATTAATCTACCGACCTTAAAAGGCGAAAGAGAGGAGATAGCAAAAATAATGTAATTCTCTTCTTGTGGTAGTTTCTCTTGGTTTTTATTCGCATTTAAAAAAATAATACCGATTTATTTAATACGAATAATGCTTGTTTCCTCATGTCCTTTAAAAATATTTTTTGTCATGAATTAACGTACTCCTCTTGTAAGTATGTCTTTAAAAACTAAAAAGTCTAAGGATTTTTAATTTAACAATAAAAAATTTATTTTATGGTTGGTAATGTCATGCACGCAGAAGTATATGAAAACAAAAAATGTTTGAATTCGTGTATATTTTTGCATTTTACTATTTTTAAATAACTGACATTTACAATATTTTTTAGTTTAATCTATTGTTTTTCAAAAGTTGAGTTAGGCTAAAAACTAATTTTTAGTGCTTAAATTATAAATACAAAATAATTTGAGAAAAAATGTTAACCTTGGTTTGTGTGTACTGTGCAACATTTGTGTCTGTAGAAATATATCTAAAATAAAACTTCGAAGGAGCTATTTATAATTTAACAAATAAAACTAAACAGTTATATTTTTTTTTACTGTAATAAAGAAAAATTTTCCAGCTTTCCTAAGTTTTGAAACCAATTGAGGGACGTTAATGTTTATTTCTAAAAGTTAGAAAAGGACATTATTGCAAGATTTACCAATTTTAAACTTCGCTTCAACAAGTCCCTTTTCTCTAAAAATAAATATAGTTCTTCATAAAAAAACAAAACTAAATTTCAGTTTGTAAATTAATGATTTAAAATATGATTGTATTTTTATTTTTTTGCTTTTTTTTAGTCACTCTGCATGAAATTTTTCATCTAAAAATATCTTGTCACTTTTATTTACTAAAAATAAATATTAAATAGGGACCAAACCTGGATATGAAAATAAACGTAAAAAAAAAAAATATTATATAACTATACTGTACTTTTGGCATAAAACCATCATCCATCAATACAGTTAAAAAGGCACTTGTGTGCGTACTATACATTGTACTTTTTTTTTTCTCTTAGTGAAATGCTTACACAACACCAGATATTTTTTTCTTTAAAAAAAAGGTTAAAAAAAAAAATGGGATTAAAAAAAAACAAATTTACCAGTAATGGAATAAATTTTAGCACTGATTGCCTCGAACTGTTGTAAATATTCTTAAAAAAATAATTCTTAAAATATTCATAAATTGAATATTTGCCACATGGCTACATTCGTGGGATGTCCAGTGAAGATCATAACTTGCTGGTCTGTAAACTATATAATCAGGATTTTGTTAAATCTAGATTTTATTTTCTCATTTCTAAATTTTTGGCTTGTGATGCCAATCATTTTCCATATTTATTTCCTTTTTGTAATTTTTTTTTGTCTCTTCCAGACACAGACTAGCCATGTACAGGAGGTGAGTTCCTCATTGTTTTATGTTCTAGACAATTCCCCAGATTGACAGCTAGATGCATGCTTTAACTTTAGAATTTAGATACATGTCTATATAACATTTAATTTTTTCTTCAAAGTTCCACTGGCTTTACTTCCAAATTTCAAAATAATTCAGCTACTATGCATTCTCTTGTCATAGATTTAAATTATTAAAAGAATCCTTCATGTTTTTACAAGATAATAGTTTATTTAATACCTTTTCCCCTTCTTATTCTGTACTTCTCTATGTTTACATTAGGTCCTCTACATAGTTGTATTTGGACAATGTGGGGAAAAAAACAAGACTTGACTGTGCAACCAACCTAATCATAAGTTTTTTGTAAGCTGTTGCCTTGACATATGAAAGTATTTTTTTCTTTTTTGTCACAATTGTTTACCTAAACTAAGAGCAATAGCTTTGAGAACAAGAACAACAAAGAAAATACCATTCAGAAAGACACAGCTGGATATTTGGTGATACATCATGAGAAAAGAGAATACTCACAGGACAGGTAAAAGGAGTTGAGGAAAGCAACAGGTAACCTCACTTGACAAGAAGCAGCAAATGGATGGAGGAATGACTTCTACAAAGAGAATATAAATATTATAAAGGTTAAAGTAGAGCTGAAAGGAACAAATGACAAGCAGCTGTGAAAAAACAAGATTATCTACATTCTGAAGAGACATGGTACATAGAGAGATAATAATTTGTGACCATAACAGAAATTCTTGAGCAAAGACATGTCTAAATCCATGAACAGAATAATTGTGATTTATAATGGTTAACTGATACTAACAGCCAAAATAATTACTTATATAAAAACATTATGTAACTCATTTGTCTATATTAACAATTTAAGCACTTACTCTTTAAATTATGTAAAAATTCTTGATTCTGAATTTAGATTTTAATGATTTATGTCTGCATCAAATAATGAACTAGATTAATTTATATAAATAAATTTCTTAAAAATATTTTCTTCCACAATTTTCCCTTATTTTCCTAAATCAGTGGTTATTTTATCACCTCTTTTGTTTTATCACATGCCTGAAATGAAACATTTCTTACATTACTTGGTTTTATTCAGAACAATGTATTCAGCATTAATGCTTTACAATCATTTCACAGTTAATATGGTTTTCACCTGTATAAAATTCTTTATTGGTTCATAAAGTAATTTTTACCAAAACTATGATGATTAGAAAATGGCAAACTGTTACAGAAATTGACAGAAGAAAATCAAATATTGATTTCAATAAATAAATTAATTGTGATGATGGAACTAAAGAGAAGGATATGACTAATCTTTTTTTCTGGATAGCATGCTTATAAATTATCTCTTTGCATACATCACATAATCACAGATATGAATAAAATTATTGATCAAATTAAGTTTAAAAAATGTACAATTTTTAATTTAATGTCCATTCTATGTATATTTAAAATGTTACTTCTATGATTTACAAATAAATGTTAAAAACTAAAATTACCTCAGCATTAATATAGATGAATAAAAATTAATTTAATTGCAACTTATCTGTAAAGTCTGAAGATTTCTTTTTTTCTAAAAAAATCTTATTATGGTTGCCATTCTTAAATCAGTAAGTAAAACATTTTCATTTGATGAAAAATTAATAATTTTCTCTGCACATATTAATATACTTAAACCAGATTCAATATTTCAATCAAAAAATTAAATTGGAAGGGGGAACAATTGGCTGTTAGATAATTTTTTTTCACTCAAAACAAGGCAATAAAGCCACCAAGGTGCAAGAGGTCTCAAAGAATATGAGAGAGATAAAAAAAAAAAAAAACAAGAATTAAGTAGAGAGAAGATAATGATTGACACTGCATTTAAATTTTTAAGATCAAAATTAACTGGAAAGCAAGAAGCCTGAAAGAGAATTCCACAAGCAAGAAGTGTGTGAGAAGAAACTAAGCATAGAACAGAGTTACATATAGAGGCCATTTCAACTGGAAAATGATAAAACCTAGCTGCCAATCTAGTACTGTGCTTAAATTCTTATAGTCAATGTACTAATTAGTAAAAATTGTCAGAACAACTGCCATGAAATTATTTATAGAAAAGGCACAGGGAAACCAAACTTGTTAGACATTCTACAGTGCCTCATTCTGTCATCAAATAAAGACTTACTCTCATTGAGGACATGCTTATAATTATTACAAGCAGACACAAAGAGGTGTCTGTTGTGTTTGGAACTACCATGTTGATACAGTTAGAAAAAGTGATTCCAATGAGCTATAATGGTTGAACAGGCAGATGTGAACCAAGGAGAAAGTATGGTTTCACCTGGTATTTACGAGAAGATACAAAAGCACTTATACCAGCTTTTACCCAAGAAAAACCTTAGTGGCACAATTTTTAATAGAATGGTTAAAAATTTCAATCCAAAGTGTATCACAAAGAAAATCACAAAATGAATCACAATCAATAAGTTGGTAACAGAAAGAAATGTTGTGAATATGAGGTTCATGTTTCAAAAGAACTGTTAACAGATACTACAATGTGATCTGAATTGCTAGGAAGACAGAGTTATGATGCTTGAGCTAGGAGAGGAGGTAAGGAACAAATCAAGTAAAGAAGCATGTTGATCAGAATTATTAAGGAAATGAGTACAGAAATCCATTACTTGACTGAGAGACTGAACAACTGAAAAATTTTAAGTCTGCATACTTACATACATAAGTAATGTTAAAATGATTAAGCCACTTGACATGATGAGCAATAAAATCATCAAACACAAAAATGTTTGCAGATGAAACAAAAACAATCATTAAAAGTAAACTTTATAAATATGTTGTTCAAATTATTGATGAGCCCAATCAAGAGAATTTATTTATTTTAAGAAAATTATAGATTTAAAATAGTATCTTGATAAATTCAGGTTATTTAATTTTTGCTTTTATTTTTTATAAATACTAAATTTAATTAATTTAATTTAGTTAATTTCTTTCAATTTAAATGTTTTGTATTAAACTTGAAAGTAATTGAACCTCCTCCCATCGACATTCATATAATGTAAAATGTAATTGTTTGACAAGAGTTACCATCTTGGATTATTAGATTTCATTCTTTGTTTTAACTATAATAATAGCAAATGTGATTCTTTTATTATTTGGACAGATAAAAATAGTTATGAATATGCTGTTTTATTTATAGATTATTTTATAAGTGTATGAAACAACCATAAGTACTATTTTTTAATATTAACAAAAACTTAATAAGGTATTTTAATTCTTAATTTCTTTCATCACTGCTTATATTTTCTATTTCTCATAAATGTTCAATGTTTCATTTGCTT